TATGCATTTAAAATAAAGAGGAGTTATCCTAGCATAGATTTATATGATAACATTCCACCAGCTGACATCATTTAAAAAATAGGAGGAAGACCTTGCATGTAAGGTCCCCGTTGCGTATACCAGCCAGTACACAGTCTGGCTACGTTAGTGTGTTAGCTCATGCGCAATATCTCACCAGAAGAGTTATATTTTATGATGAATATGCATTTAAAATGGTCAGGGGGTATGTCCGCATAGATTTCCCTATTAAACTTTTATCAATAGACCTGGGTTTATAATTAGGAGAGCGCCCTAGCATGTACGGTACNTAGACATCATTTAAGAAAATAGAGGAAGACATTGGCATTGTAAAAAAAAAAGGTCACCGCTGGCGTATTATCAGCGAGTACATAATCTGGCTATGTTAGTGCTGATAAGCGCTAGTGCACATCTATTATCATCACCAGATTGAGTTTATATATGTGATGAATCATGCATTAAAATGGTGTAGGGGCTATCTTAGTATAGATTTCCCAATAACCCTTTATCAGTAGACCTGTGTTACAATTAAATTTAAAGGAAGAAGACACCCTAGATGAATAGGGCTACAAAAAACACATATACCTTTATGTCCCTTCGCAGTCCATTCCCCTAGCCTCACCTGTCTCTCCGCGTTCAGCTCCTTCTTTCTTCTACCGCCCCATGCTTTTCTTCCCTGCCGCCTTTCCCTTAGGTTTTCCCCATCCCCTTTCTCTCGTCAGCAACGCTATATTATAATGTTTGCCTCAGACAGGCACAGCACGCCTAAACACGGTGCGCGCGCATCATCGCAATTTCTCCGAGGCAAAAAATCGTATTTTTACAAAGATTTGAATTAAAAGATAAGAGGAGTTATTCTAGCATAAGATTTATTTTGATTAGACATTCCATCAGTAGACATCTATTTGAATAAAATTATAGGTAGGCAAGAACTTTGCATGTAAGGTCACCGCCGTGCGTTTATACCAGCCAGTATCACAATCTGGCCTATGTTGTAGTTTGCGTCCAGTGCGCATATATCATCACCGGAGAGCTTATATTTTATGATTGAAATACCGGCCATTAAATATGGTAGCGGGCTATCTCAGCATAGATTTCCCCTATAACCGTTTATCTCAGCTAGACCTGGTGTTTTATATTAGGAGAGCACCCTAGCATGGAGGGCTACCAAATACGACCTACTTTATGCCGTCGCGTGCCTTCCCTTGGGCCGCTCCCCTGCTCCTCCCAGCCTCCTTCTTTTCTACGCCTCCAGCTTTATACTTCCCGTGCCGCCTTTTCCTCAGTCTCCCATTCCCTTTCTCTGTCAGCAAGCTAATATTAATAATTGTTTGCCTCAGGACGGGTACGGCACGCCTAACATCGGTGCGAAAGCGCAGTATGCCGCAATATCTTCCGAGAGTCATCGTATTTTACAAAGATTATGAATTTAAAATGAAGAGGGAGTTATCCTTAGCATAGATTTATATGACAACATTCCATCAGTAAGACATCATATTTTAAGATAATAGGAGGAAGACATTGCCTATGTTAAGGTCACCGCTGCGTATCATCAAGGCCAATACATCATCTGGCTATGTTAGTGTGTTAGCGCATCGGCAATTATCTCACCAGAGAGTTAGTATTTATGATGGAATATGCCATTTAAGAATATGGTTAGGGAGTTATCTTCAGCATAGATATTCCCTAAATCAAACTTTTATTCAAGTAGACCTGTGTTTATAATAGGAGAGCCGCCCTAGCATTGTTACGGTACAAAACACCTACTTTATCGCCTCAAGTCTTCCCCTTGCTCCCCTGTCTCTCGCTCAGCCTCCTTTCTTCTTCTACCGCCCCCAGCTTTCTCCCTGCCGCATTTTCCTCAGTCTCCCATCCCTTTCTCTGTCAGCAAGCTTTGATTATAAACTGTTTGGCCTCAGACGGCACGCACGCTAAACACCGGTGCGCGCCGCATATGCGCATGATTCTCCGAGAGCAATCTGTAATTTTACAAAAGATTATGAATTTAAAATGCAAGAGGAGTTATCCTAGCATAGATTTAATTATTGATAAACATTCCATCAGTAGGACATTATTTAAGAAAATAGGAGGAAGACATTGTCCATGTAAGGTCACCGCCTGCGTATATCAGCCAGTACATAATCCTTTCAATTTTTTTATGGCTTGTTAGGTGTGTTAGCGCGCATTTGCGCAATACTCTCAACCAGAGGAGTTTATATTTCTTTTATAATGAATATTGCATTTAAATGTTAGCGCGGCGCTATCTCGCATAGATTATTCCTAAATAAACCTGTTTATCAGCTAGACTGCTGTTTATAAATTAGGAGAGGCCTTATGCATGTTTACGGTACAAAACACCTATTTATGCCCTCACGGTCCTTCCCCGTTGCCTTCCCCTGTCTGGTCGCTCAGCCTCCTTCTTCTTCTACCGCCTCCAGCTTTCTTCCCTGCTCGCCTTCCTCAGTTTCCCATCCCTTTCCTAACCGCCCCAGCTTCTTCCTTGCGCCCTTTTCTCAGTCTCCATCCCCTTTTCTCCGTCAGCAAGCTATTTTATATGTTTGCCTTCAGACGACACGGCACGCCTAACCACGGTGCGCGCGTATAGCCGCAACTATCTCCCGAGAAGCAATCGTATTTTGCAAAGCGTATGCATTTAAAATGAAGAGGAGTTTATCCTAGCATAGATTATATATGATAACAATTTCTGTCCATCAGTAGAACAATTCATTTTAATAAAATAGGAGAAGAACATTGCATGTAGGTTTCACCGCTGCGTATATCAGCCCAGTACATTAAATTCTGGCTATAGTTAGTTGTTAGCGCATGCGCAATATCTCACCAGATGGAGTTATATTTTCGTATCAATCTGTAATATGCCATTTAAATGCGTTACGGGGGTATCTTCAGCCAGTAGTAATTTTCCCCTAGATAATACCTTTATCAGATAGGAACCTGTGTTTATAATTTAGGAGGAAGCGCCCTAGCATTGTACGGTACAAAACACTACTTTATGCCTCACGTACCTATTCCCCTGCTCCCCTGTCTCTCGCTCATCTCTTCTTCTTCTACCGCGTTCAGCTTTCTCCCTGCCGCCTTCCTCAGTTTCCCATCCCCTTTTTTCCTACCGCCCCAGCTTTCTTTCCGCTTGCCGCCTTTCCTCAGTCTCCCATCCCCCTTTCTCCTCAGGAAGCTTATATTATAATGTTTGCCTTCAGACGACACGGCACGCCTAATCACGGTGCGCGCGCCATGCGCGCAATATCTCCGGTAGAGCCAATCGTTATTTGCACAAGCGTATGGCATTTTAAAATTGAGAGGAGTTTATCTAGCATAAGATTTTATTGATAACATTCCATTCAGTAGACATCATTTAATAATAGGAGAAAGACATTGCATGTAAAGGTCACCCATGCGATATACCTAGCCCAGACACAATCTGGCTATGTTAGTGTGTTAGCGCATGCGCAATATCTCACCAGAGGAGTTATATTTTGTAAAGAATATGCATTTAAAATGGTTAGGGGGTAACACAGCATAGATTTCCCTAATAAACCTTTATCAGTAGATCCGTTTTTATAATTAGGAGAGCGCCCTAGCATGTAGGGTACAAAACACCTACTTTATGCCCTCGCGTCCTTCCCCTTGCCTCCTCTGTCCCTCGCTCAGCCTCCTTCTTCTTCTACTGCCCCCATCTATCTTCCCTGCCGCCTTTCGTCAGTCTCCCATTACCTCTCTCCCTCAGCAAGCTATATTATAATGTTTGCCTCAGACGGCACTACACGCCTAATACGGTGCGCGCGCATGCGCAATATCTCCCGAGAGAAATTGTAT